TTTCTCTGCATCTTTTGATATGAACACTACACATTATGGATTACAGAGGCAGATCATTTTTTTCAAGTTGGTATAAAGACAAGATTTATTTGTTTTCCATTTTTCTGATGAGCCTGGTCTAGTTTTATTCAAATATGTTGTCTGTATTCAAGATAGCTACTGATACACATAATCATCTTCATGGTTTGATTCAAAATTAGTAAATCCTAGCTATATCAAAAAAGGCATGATGGTTTGAATATTCCTTGTGATCAAATTTAGTATCAGAGTAGGTCCTCCCTCTAATATTTGAATTCTGAAATTCACAAAGATGCCATTGTGTAAATGTCTCAATTCAGTTGGCCAACAAAGAATTTCACGCATCCTAATACTTTCTGTGGGTATGCATTTGCTAACAATTATTTCATCTATCATGTTATTTGTGGATCTATGTAACATAGTTGCAACATTTCTATTATTATAAATATTTGCAATTGTTGACAACTTCTATGGCATACTGACATTATTTTGTGTATAGCTTTTCGAAAAGACAGGAAGGAGGCGACAGAAAAGAAAAAAAAATCAAAGTCTGCTGCCGAGAGTAAAGAGAGTGAGAAAGATGCTGAGGACAAAGAAGCAGAAAAGAGTTCTGGTGAGGAAGAAGCTGAGGAGGAGGAAGAGGATGATGATGAAGAGGAGGAAGAACAGGTGGAAGAAAAAGAGGATGGAGAAGAGGAGAAAGACGAATCTTAATATAGTCTTAAAAGAGAAGAAAGTTGGGATGGTGGGGTGTTGGGTTTGCAGGTGTTATTGATGGGCATTACATTTCTAAAAAATTATATTGTTTAGGTGACAGTAGTGATGAATAATAATTGAATCAACAAACCCTAAAACATATGTCTGTTTGAGATATATTACATCAGATTTGAAGATGTGACAGCTTTGTCAAGATGAATATGTGTAGTGTGTATGATCTGATCAGTATTACCATCATTCTCACCTGTGGATTGTATTGTCTGCGATTTCTCATTGGGATTGCGGCGCATCATTGTCTGTGATGTAAGTATTTCAGATTCGTCCCATTCTTTTAAAGTTAACAAACAAATGTAATGTATGAATTAATGTATTGTTCATTTCATTCTATCTGTGAAGCTACTAACAGGATTTTGGATTGGCCACCCAAACCGAACACCTATCAGTCTGGCCAATCAGAGCACTTGTTTGTTGACAGGTATCAAATTCTGCTGTATAAATGTATTTGACTCAACTGTTCTATCCTGCACACCATGAATCATCAGTTCAGTATTGCAGTCATTGTTTGTTTCAATTATGTATTTTTCACTTTCATTATAATAAATGCCTTTTATTTTACAATTGCCTTGAGTATGCTATCCCAAGTCTCTTGTGATCTTTCTAGCTTGGCTCCAGTATTTCGCTCTTGAACCTGTTACATGTGACCATTCAAGCTACTCTCTTGAGTATGCTATCCCACAATGGGTACTGTAACATGTGGCATTTGACCATTCTAGTTGCCCTGACTTCAGTGATGCTATCCCATGTCTTTTCATTTGGTCATTCGACCACTCTAGTTGCCCTGACTTCAGTGATGCTATCCCATGTCTTTTCATTTGGTCATTCGACCACTCTAGTTGCCCTGACTTCAGTGATGCTATCCCATGTCCTTTCATTTGGTCATTCGACCACTCTAGTTGCCCTGACTTCAGTGATGCTATCCCATGTCCTTTCATTTGGTCATTCGACC